ATTTGGCAAAATCATAAACGAGATTGCTTTGATTAATGTTGATAATTAGCGTAAAAATTAGACTTAAGCTGCTCTTTTTAAGTCAAATAATATGAAATACATGTGTCAGCCGTCTTTTTATGTAGAATGTATCCCTTAAATAGTAAATAAGATGCACGCTGATTTAAAGTGTGACCCAGTTTGTGTGATAAAACTCAAACAGACACTAAATGCTTTAAACCTGACAAATATTATGGTTTTTCCTCGACTGATTAAACTCTGTCATATAAAACTTTAAAAAGAGGTTACAAAGTATTTCAATATTAAATTTATTAAAACTAAATTTGTATAAACCATCATTCAGGTGGTTTATTAACTGAAATCAACTTACACATGCAGTTTTAACCATTTCCCCACTTTGTATTTCAGGGATAATACTTTTCAAAATAAAAGCACCTGTATTTGTGACATTGGGAAATAAGCTTTTTTTAAACTAAAACTAAAATAAACACAAACTAAATAATAATTTTGTTAATCTCAGATATGCATTTTTGATTTGGTTGATAGCTACTGGAAATAAACCAGTTAAAAAAACAACAATAATAATGTGGAAATAATTTGTTTTAAAAACATTTTTAATTGTAAAATGTCGACGAATAGAATCTCATACTTAAAGAAGCAACCCAAACTAAAGTGAGACTCAAACCCGGGTCTGACCCTGTGTCATCCAGTTCCTCCTTTTTTTGACTGTTAGTGAAGCACCATCCCTCAGACTTTAACCTTTTCTCAAACTTTATGTAAACTTTATGGTTACGTGTGACACAGATAATAAATAGTATTTATAAATAACCAGTTCACAGACTCTGAGAAATACTCCCGTCTCTTTTGGTGGCATTTGTATTTTTGCAGATATCGTTATTTCCAAATTCATGTTTTTTTTTACACTTTAAACGTCATAATCAAAGCCGCTATCAGGACTAGACTAGGGTTAATTTTGAAGAGTTTTATGTTTTTGTGTTTTTAAAGTTTATACTTTATTAAAGCGGTTCACACCTGTGCAGAGAGGCCTCTTCAGTCTTCATCAGAGTCATCCTCAGGTGAACACATTTTCACACTCAGTCGAGTTTCAGCAGCCAGGATTTTACTCTGACGCCAACTTGCAGCTCCTGACATTTAAAGGCGGGACACTTACGCCCCGTTACTCCTCACCTGTAATGTGAAACGATGACGGCAAAGTTGTTCCACCTCTACTCCATCTTCAGAGGAAGTACCAGAGGCGTAACGTGGTCGAGACAGAGGTGCAGCGCAGCGTCAGGGTTTCCATATCGCACTAATGTAATATAAAGGAGTCGTTACGGCAGCGCTCCACCTGTCCGGCTCTTAGACAGACAGGTGATTAAATATGAAGTCTAGCCTTCAGGGAGACGATTAGAGTGAATATTAAAAACACTGAACTTCTCCTGTAAGAACCCAAACATCTCCTCTGATTTATCCTCTCAAACTGAACCACCATCTCCACATTTTCACGACTCGTTTTTTTACTCTAAAGTCACTGAACTGAAACCGTTTCACAATCTTCTCAAAGTGTCTGAAAGCATTTCTAGCAAACACTTTAGTCAAACTGAAACAGGGTACCTTGTGGATTTGTCTAAAAATGCGGGAAAAAAGGCGGATAAGCAACATTATATCTCCATCATAAGCTTTGTTATTACACTCAGACCTCTAAACGCACATTATAAATCAACGTTCAGACTCTCGTGGCTGAAATGAAGCAGATTTCTGAATCCAGTTTCCAAGAGAGAGAGAAAGAGGTCGTAGAAACAACCAGATCCTCTGATTTTAGATGAAAATGTTTAGAAATCCAACAAGAAAGTGGTCTTAAAAAGTCCGTGATCTGGTTTTATATTTTAACCTCAATGTAGAAGATAAAGAAGAAAAACTACCAAACCCATTTTAAAGATTAGAAACAAGTCTGAAAGCAGGATTGAGTTTGTTATTAGCTGCAGGAGTTAAGAAAAGGAGAGTCCTCGCGTCAGGTTTCACCGCAGCGTTTTATTAGACCTCTCGAGGCCTTTCATGTGTTTTTCTGATGTAAAATTACGCTCATAATGTCTGCATAATGTAAAAAAACTGAATGGAAATAGAAGAGAGAGAGAGAGAAAGAAGTGACCACAAAAGAAGAAAAAAACAAAGAAAGAAAGAGAGCAGTTTTTTTTTTTTCTCCGTCTCTTTGGTGGTCTTCATCGGGGTCCTGCTGGATCTTGAACCCGGTGCAAAACACAACGGGGGGGAAAATGAGTAAGAGTTGTTGAAGGGGGAGAGTTGGGGTGGGGGGTCCTCAGCTCAGCTGGAGGAGGGGGTGGGGTGGGGGGGTTTACACCACCAGAGTCCCACAATTCATCATCCTCTGGCTCCGACAGGGTCTGTCTGGACGGGTCGGTGGAGGGGAGCCGAGAGGGGGGATTGATGGCCGGCGAGACTCTGTGACCTCCATCATTCCCCGAGAGAGGAGATAGAGAGA